ATGATTCTGTGAAAACAAAAATGACTTTGCTTGATTTGGCAGAAATGCAAGAAAGATAAGCTGATTGGGGAAGAGGGAACCTGTTCCAATATCTGTCCCAAGGTCTTTTCATAATGTGTGTGTCAGCCTGAGAAATTTTCGTATGTAATGCCTAAGTCTAATTATTTAGTTTGGCTATATGCTTTAATCCTTTTGATGCTAGCATTGTCACAAGGCAACATTAAATCATTTGGAATGATAACACCCTAGGTTATTTTTGCAGCTGTTTTTCCTTGTCAAGTTTGTTTGAAACTAGACCCAATAGGATTGGTTATGGTGAAAGAAAAGAAAGCAAATGACTATGTCAACTTTATATTTATTTTCCTTCCTGTATAAGTAGAAACAAAAAAATGAAATACATAGTTCTTAAACATCCTCCTCTCATTGACACAATTCAAAGACTCCATGTATTTGAGTAAATTCTGGACAGTCTTCCTGATCTCAGCTTTCCCTATTCTCATCCATCCAGAGCACTTCAGCCAGGCTTACCTTTGTAACACTCAGCTATGGTCTTTGTCAGATTTCTGAATAAAAATTTTTAGTGGCTTCCAGTCACCTGTGTAATAACCAAACTCCCCAGCCTGCCTCCTTAGCCTCTGATCATCTAGATGCTGCCTTTATGTCTACTCTCACTTCTCACTGCCTCCACGTATCCTTTATGTTCCAGCATACCACATGTATTCAGTTCTACAGATACTTATTTGTCTCAGACTCTTAGCTAGGGGCTGGGAATTCGATGATAATTAAGACATGGTCTCTGCCCTGAAGGAGCTCACGCTCCAGTCGGAGACACGTTAAACTGCAATGTGTAAGTGCAGCATGTGATATGTGCCCCTGTGCATTCTAGTGGTTCTTCTGCCTGGAATGAACTTTCCTTTATATATTTCCTGTCGAAATTCTATCTGTCCGCGAAGACTGTGCTCAAATATCACCTCCTTTTAGAAGGCAATACACAATTAATTACTTGAAACATTTGTTAACATTTTATGTAGACTTCTGTTATAATTTATTTCACATATGTTGTGTTTTGTATACATATCGGTTTCCACACTGGTCTGTGAGCCGCTTACACGCAAGGCTCACTAATCCCAGAACCTTAACACCATAGTCGGTACTCAACACACAAAAAATGCTAATGAATATTTGTGGAATGAATAGCATTTCAGTATTATTCTAGTATCATAAAAAACATAGAGATGTTCTCATCTTCCTAACTCTGATTTAATGGAAGATGAGATAATATGTTTTTAAAATGTAACTTATTTGGCCCAAAGGACAGTTTAATAATCACATTCAAAATAATAATATTTTCCTATCTACCAGATATTGTTCTAAGCACTTTATATAAATTATCCACTTTGATCATCATGAGAACTGTATGAGTTGGGAAATATTATGATTTCCTTTTTATAACTTTTGTATAGACTTCAAAAAAAACACATCATCATCACTATAACTGCTGATAGATACATAGCTCTTACTAAGTGCTAGGCACTGTTCTATTACTGATTATATATTAACTCATTTATTTCTCACACCAGCATGGTTCATTACATAGTTTCTACTATTATCCTCATTTTATATATGAGGAAACCGAGGCACAGGTTGTGAGTTGTGAGGCCAGGGTATGACCTGGAATCTGTACCTACAGCTCATACTTTTACTCATTATGCTAAATAATGTTTCATTTTGTAATTAGTACTGCAATGCATTATTCAAAATAATGGATTATTATCCATAGGCACTTGAAATAACAAGGATTTAGATCATATAAACTATTTTCCTCTACCAGTTCAATCAAAATATACTCCTGGGAATTTCCTTTTATACTTTTTTTTTTTTTTTTCGAGACAGAGTCTCACTCTTTTGCCTCGGCTAGAGTGCCCTGGCGTCAGCCTAGCTCACAGCAACCTCAAACTCCTGGACTCAAGCGATCCTTCTGCCTCAGCTTCCCAAGTAGCTGGGACTACAGGCATGTGCCACCATACCCAGCTAATTTTTTCTATATAATTATAGTTGTCCGATTAATCTCTTTCTATTTTTAGTAGAGACGGGGTCTTGCTCTTGCTCAGGCTGGTCTCGAACTCCTGAGCTCAAGCAATCCTCCCGCCTTGGCCTCCCAGAGTGCTAGGATTACAGACGTGAGCCACCACACCTGGTCCCTCCTATACTTTTGATTTTGCCCATTTCAATCTTTGTTAAATAAGAGAAATCCCATGGAAAATACAGAATTGCCTAATTGAATTAAGGTTTGTGTGAAATGCATTTTCTTGTTAAAGCTTTAGATTATATCTGTTTTAGCTCTTCTCTTGGTTCCATTATTCTCTTCTCAGTTCTACTTTATGATCAGTATGATAAGTTTGTTGGATATTAGCCCTGCAAAAATAAGTTTACTGCATTTGTAACTGCTAAGAAATATTATACCATTGGGTCTCTGGTCTAAAAAGCAATTAAAGTTATATTTAGCTTAATAGAAAAATAATTAGTGTAGAGTTCAGACTTCCATCCCATGTACACAAAGTGTGACCAATAAATATTAATAATACATTTATGTTTGGGAAAGCCATACTCACTTGAGATTTCAGGTAGTATCTTATCTTCTTTAGCATTCTGCCTTTTGCTTTGTCAAAACTAAGGCAGGGATCCAGCTTAGAAACTAAGAGAAATACATTTACCCATTGTAAAGCAAAAAAAAGAAATGAAGGGAATGCTCAAAATATGAAATAATAATAAAGTCCACAGCTGATGGATGAAATATATAGCCTTTAAATTTAAGAGACTCATGGCAGTTTACAGATGTTGAAACTGCCATGATACTTTTTAGAAGTATTTTGATGCCTATTTATAAGACATTATCTCTTTTTACCTTTCTCATCAATTAATAATAAATTACCTTAAAATGATGAATTGGTTTCAAAGTCTAGTAACATATAATGGACTTTATAAGTGGTGAATGATATTATTACCATATTGGTGCTCAGTACTCTAGGATTTTAGAAAGTGAGATGGTATTGTAAGTACTTGGGTAAAATCTTATTGAAAAGATTTGGGTTCCTTATAGGAGTCACAGCTATAAATGAAACAAAGAATTGGGATCTACATAAAAGTATCAAAGAGAAATGGAGACTGGGAACTCTGATTCAATTATCAACTTTGCCACTAAATGATTTTGACTTTAGGGCATGTAACTTCACCTCAAAGGAATTAAATATCTTCATTTATAAAATTTTGAATTTGTGGTAATTGATTTTCCAGCTTTAAAATTCTGATTTCATTACTAGTTCAGGGTCATATCTCTTTCAGAATCCATTTGCTTGGATTTAGCTTCTTTGTTTGCGTCTCTTGTCACATGTGTGAAACAGATACAGTGTAATCCTTCAAACACAGGCATCGATCTAAATACTGTCAAGAGTAGGAAAGGTAAAAGACAAGCCAAAGACTGGAGAAAATATTCACAAAAGACATACCTGATAAAAAGACTGTTATCTAAAACATACAAAGACTATTAAAACTCAACAATAAAAAAAGCAAACAGCTCAATTTAAAAAATGGACCAAAACCCTTATCAGACATCTCACCAAATAAGATATATAGATGGTAAATAAGCATATGAAGTGATGCTCCACATCATATGTCATCAGAGAAATACAAATTGAAATGATATACCTCTTATAATGGCCAAAATCCAGAACACTGACAACACCAAATGTTAACAAGGGCATGTAGCAATAGAAACTCTCATTCATTGCTAGTGGGAATACAAATGGTATAGACATTTCGAGAATACAAAATGGTACAATTTGGAAGGCCATTTGGAAGTTTCTTATAAATCTAAATATGAGATCCAGCAATCGTGCTCCTTAGTAGTTACCCAAAGAAGTTAAAATCTATGTCCACACAAAAACCTGCACACAGATGTTCATAGCAGCTTTATTCAAAATTGCCAAAACTTAGAAGCAATCAAGATATCCTTCAGTAGATGAATGTATAAATAAATTTCAGTATATCAAGACAGTAGTTAGCGCTAAAAATAAATGAGCTACCCAGCCATGAAGACAAGAGGAAACTTAAATGCACATTACTAAGTGAAAGAAGCCAGTCTGAAGCGGCTTCATACTGTATGAGTTCATCTGTATGACATTCTGTAACAGGGAAACCTATGGAGACATGGAAAAATACAGTGTTTGCCGGGGTGAGGGGCAGGGGAGAAAGATGAGTAGGTGGAGTACGGGGATTTTTAGGGCAGTGAAACTACTCTATGTGATACTATGTAATACGTATCATTATACCTTTGTCTAAACCCATAAAATGTACAACACCAAGATTAAACCCTAAGGTAAACGATAGACTTTGGGCGATGATATATCAATATACATTCATTGATTGTAACAAATGTACCGCTGAGGTGGGGGCTGTTGATAATGGGGGAGGCTATGTATTTATGGGGGATGGGGGCGTATAGGAAATCTCTATCTCCCTTTCAATTTTTCTGTGAATGTAAAAACACTCCAAAAAATGAAGTCTATAAAAAAAAAAAGCAGGCGAAGAAGAAATGCTAAGAGATTTATGACACACTTAGTTTGATGTCTACGTTATATACATGAATTAATTTTTATAAGTTTGGAAATATTACCATAAATAGATGCTTTAAGTTATAATTTAAGAATATGAACACAGGGTTGTAAAATATTTTGTATTTAATTAGGTGTTTACATATTTATATTCTTTTAAATATCATGTATTTTTATACATAAAATATTGTGTTAATAAAGTACAAATATAATACATCTATTTCTAAATGAGTATATGTAAACTGTAATTGTTTGCATATATCTGAATTGGAGCCTTCCTGCTGTACATAGGCACTTACAAGGTGGTATAATATGTATATTGAAGCAAGCAAATATTTTGCTTATTAAGAATTTTTTCTTCCTTTCCCTCCTTCTTTTTCTTTCCCATAGACTTGTTGCTTTCAAATAGCTGTATTCCATTTTTGGGTTCATCAGAAGGACTGGATTTCCAAACCCTTCTGTTAGATGAAGAGAGGGGCAAGCTGCTCCTGGGAGCCAAGGACCACATCTTTCTGCTCAGTCTGGTTGACTTAAACAAAAATTTTAAGAAGGTCAGTTTATTTATATATACAGTTAATTGGATTCATTTATTTTCATTTGTGTTCTGTTTTGTTTTAAGTGACTCAATATTAAATGTAGTAAATCATTTACATGTCAAAAAACATTAAAAGAACAGATTGCCTCATATACATTTTAGATTTTTACAGATTTAAGTACATATGCATGTTCTTTATTACGAGTGAGTATAATATTAAAAGCTTTGAAAATATAAATGAAAAATTTCAAAAATTAGTAAATATGTACTAGGCTGTGCAATAGAAATGCAAAATTTTGAACTGAGCAAATGGCAAGTGACTTATTCAACAAGAATGAACATTTATAAATATAATAATTGTTGTAAAATTAAAATTTTATTAACTTTCATTTAACAATTAACCATACCTTCAACTGACAGTTTGACTCTGGTGATGTTTTAATATCATATTGCTCATACTCCTTTTTCCACACTCTTATTTCACATCTGAACAGATTTCTTTTATGGCTCAATTGCTCTCAGCTAGAGATTAATAATGCCCCACAATGGGCTCTATAAGAACAATATTACCACTAGAAAGAAATATACACTAGTTATTTAAAATCCAAAAGGCAGTTGCTACTCTTCCCTACATTTTCAACTAGCAGTATGAAACCCAGAGGAAAGAGTGCCACACTTTAGATTTTATCAATTATTATTACTAGTATTTTAGCAAATATCAATATCTATGCAAGCAGAGATAGATACTAAGATTGGCAGTGATTGAGTGATTGAAAAGAAGTCAAAATATATGACCTACCTGGATCTATGAGGCATCTTCTATTGTTATTTTTTAACTATCTTTTTCAGAAGCATTGCAAAAGAAACACAAGGAGCTATTCCAATAACTTCAGGTCAATAGTTCCCAATATTGAGTTCTTCCTATTCAAAAAGAGTTTATAGGTCATTCTAAGACCTTGAAGCTTTATATATAGCATTCATCTATAATGACAAATTTAACTTAACCCTCTAATCATGAGATGTATTTAATAAACAAATATCAGATGCTCAGTTATATGTGTTATTTGTTCTGAGAGCTTTAGTCTGCATAGGCAAAATATTTATCTTCATGTGTGTTGATATCGCTAAATTAATCCCTGCATTACAACAATAGTTTTTGCTTTTTAATCATTCAATTTTTAAGTAGTTCTTCTATACGTTTTTGAGTCCCATCAAAGAACAGGAGTCATTTCTTATGAATATTTAGACTTGATAAGGAAATAATCTTTGAGTACAAATGTATTTGCATGCATTTCATGTAATCTGTGTTTCTAGAAGAAAGAGTGAGGGCCAAAATATTGTCAGTAATTGTTCTTAATTTCACACTTAGAAACCCATAAGATTATCTTTAAAAAAAAAATAAAGTTATCCTGTAGCCTGGACATTGTTGAGTAAGATAAAATAAACAGTTGATTATGTACTAGAATTTAAAGTTTGCCCTCTATTCTAACTTTGTAGCTCCATTGCATTTTTTCTTAAGGCTGTATTTTTTTTCTTCAGGAATTTCTTTTAAAGTACTCATATTCCTAGGAGAGTCAATTGATGTTATCAAGTAATATCTCAATTGTCAGTAAATATCTTAGCAGGAGATGACAGTTTTTACGAAAGATGCCAAAGAAAAATCTTAGTTAATCCTTGCAGTTTCACTTTAAGAGATACTACATAGTATAAAAGGTATTTTCCCAAATATGTCTCAGTTTTAATATAACTGCAAAAAGCAATTCATACTTTTAAGGGAATTTGTTCATGTTCTGTTCTCTGCCTTCAGGGATTGGAAGAAAAAGTCTATTTATCTGAACTGAATGTATTAGATCATAGCTTAAAATAAATACTGATAAAATAACTTCCTTCTTTGACTATTTTAAGCAAATCTCTCCTTGGCCATATTCCATGCTTGAAATGTGCTAATATTTAATAAAGTAAATGTTTATGCAATACCAATTTCTCTTATGATGTTATTGAAATAAATGGTTATTTGAATATATTATAAAATTAGATACTTTCTACATAACTGATATTTCTTTATCTCTCTATAAAATGTATAATTGATAAGGGCATTATGTATGCAAAAGTAACAATTTATGTTTATGTAGGTATCCACCATTCCAATTCATATAAATCACTCCAGTGCTAAAAGATACTCCACAGTAGCAAGTAAGTGTCAAGATGTAGTACTTTAGCAGTGTTTAGACCTACGGGGTTTGCCTTGGCTCAGTGCCCTTCGGCAAAGATCCAAACTCCTCTGTGGAGAAAACCACACGTGTTGGGACTCTGAGGGGCTGAAGGGTGTCCTTTGTACTCCATAGAGTTAAAGCAATCTACAACACATAATAGAGTTATGAGTGACTGGTTGGGTATTATTTTCCCTTGGAAATTAAAAAAAAAAATCCATTAGAAAATACTTAATTGAAGTAAGCAAAATTGAGGATATATGTGTACTAGGAGTTTTTGTACAAACACTGCTGTGCCTATCTTATCATTCATATCTGCCATGGGCATTTATTGTGGAATCACCAGAAATTATAGGAGAATCATTTACAAAATGAGTTAGGTAATAAATATTTAATAATACCTTTCTTATTATATTTACTCCTGTTCAGACTAGACTTTGAGTCTAGTACAGTGAATGGTGCAGGCATATGTTTAATAATTTGACAAATGACTACAGAAGAAAGTCAAAATTAAATTTGTTGGAAACATTTCCACTTTCTAGAAAATAAAAATTAAGCAGACTAGCTTTTTCGTTTTAAACTCTCTGGCACCTAAATAAGAGGGATGACATTCTGGTCTGGTCTTGTTTTTCTCTTTTTTTTTCCTTTACGTTGAGGGAAGGACTATTTTTACAGGGACTTCTTTAGACAACAGCAAGTGTAATTGCACATTGCAAGTATGTGACACTTCACAATTTAACTAGACTTTTCTAAAGTTGGTCCATAAGGCCTCTCTTCAGTTGGGAAATACCCTGTGGACTCCTCTCTGGGACAGGTTCTGGACTGAAAACATACGTTGATTTGACATTGCCTTCCTCCAGCACTAGATCAAAATGCAGCAATCGGAACCAGTCATACGTGATCAAATTCTGAGGGAAGAAGATGGATCTGAACTGTACTTACCACTTCCAACACTTGTGTTGTAGGTTGAGTTGCCTCAGAAGCCAACTCTGAGATGAAAAGTAGCTTGCAGAATATTTGTTTTAAGAGAATGTTCTTGGGATCAACCCTGTGGGAGGGAAAGCTAGGAAATAGGATTAGGCAAAGGGAGAATTAACCTGTGATGCAGTCCCAGCAAAAGTCTCAGCTGTCAGGCCAAGCTGATAAGATGGCAAACATTTCAATGTATTTTTCTAGCGTGAGTGATAATACCATAATTCCACTGAGTTTATCTTTTACTCCTATCTAATCCATTCACCACAACCATCAGACTTATCTTTAAAAAATTAAAAGTCTGATTATGTATCTCTCATTTAGACAACTCTGGCAGCTTTTCCTAGGAACTTGAATAAACTCCAGGCTTCTTAGCGCGGAGTCCTAAAGCTCTTCCCAGCCCATTTCCAGTCTATGTTTACAGTCTCGTTTTAATCTATTCTTCACTGTTCCCTCACTTGCACTCTATTTTCTGCTTCCCTTTTCCCCATCCTTCTCTTTCTTCTTTACTCAAATTATCCAGTTAATTTTTTTCAAAATAAATATTTTACTTTCAAGTTCAGTTCCTTTGTTAAAGCTTCCTGGGATTTTACTTTCTAGCTCATCTCATTCTTCATTCTTGAAGGCATTTATCTAAGTTTGCTCTGTCACCTTTTGCTCTCCAAAGCTCCACCTCACCCTGAGGAGACTTAACTACTTTTTGTGTGTGTTTACTGGAGCATTTTATATATTTATGCCAATGTCAGATGTCCTAGCTGATAGCATTATCATTATTCATTTGTGTCAGTATATTCCCATTCACAGGATATGTTCCTTGAATAAGGGGATGATTTTTCATGTACTTCTGGTTCTCCTTTAGCACATAGCACAATGTCTTACACATAAAAGACACTAAATACTGTGTTTCTTTAATTTTTTTAATTGGTGATTTTGTTAGTTTTCTTCTTTTGAGTGAGGAAGCACCATATTCCTCTTACCAGTTAGCATGCTGTCGGCTTAGTATAAAAGACACCTATCTTATTTATTATATCATGCAACAAGAATAATGTCCAGAGTTTGAGTGGCTACAGAGATGAAAATATCATCTGCCTAATGAAGTTATAGAGGACCCAGTTCTTTTTGCCTTTGTCTGCCATTCTTGGTGTTGGCATTATCCTTCAGTTGGTAGCAAGATGGCTGCAACAGTTTTCATGGCTCATGTCCAAAGAAATGTAAAGGGAAAAAAATAATCACTTGTTATGTTTCTTTCATAAAAGTAAGAAAAATTTTTGCAGAACCCTCCCTTACATTTCATTGGCCAGAAATGCATCAACCAGTTCCCAAACTTGTAAGAGGGAAAGGGTAACTATGATTTGCTTATATCAGTCAGCAGAAAGTAATCATATTGATCACTACGCTTACAGACAGGGAGTAGAGAACAATCTTTCTTTAAAAGTAATTTACTTAGAAGACTGATTTTTTTTTTCAGTTTAACATAGGTATCCCAAGGAAAACAAAAGTTTTCTCAGCCCATCAAAAAGAAGAGTATTAATATATTTGCCTATTTGGAAAGATTTATAAAGATTAGCTAGTTCTACAAGGAAATCGTATGGAAGAATTTATTTTTCTTTCAGGAGATAGCCTTAGAAAGTATTTATTGCTAGTAAAAACATCCTTGAAATAATGTATTTTATTCACCCTTCATGGTAAAAATTGAAAAATCTGCTAACTTTTACAATACTTCTCTTGGCTTATGTAAGAGTTCATTTGATTCTGCAAAAGTTCTCTCCGATGCTTAATTTAATTTAAGCTTTATGAAATCTAATCTACTGCTGTTCTCTTCAATTTGGTGTTA